AAAAAAAAAGTATGATAAATGATGTGGATACTAATTCTCACAGATTTCCAAGTTCTAAGTTTCAGAAATATCTTTTTACTTTAAATGCAAGGCCAGTGTGTCATTCTCTTGGGAATGTGATAAGACATAACCAAATGTCTGCATGCCGTATGCTCTGCAGCCACTGGTATGGTGGATAGCATATGCTGGCTGGGTGTTAGAGATTTGATGGCACTGGAGCACTTCATCTCCTATGCTGCTGAAGGCCTTGGGACCCATGTCTGAACTGACCATCCAGCAGGTTTGGGAAGCTCTGTCAAAGCCATACTGGATGTTAAGCTGCACATAGTAGTATTGGCTCCTTTCTTTCACAACCCTTCCCCACACAGACCTTAGTTTTTCTTATCTAGTCTGCTCTTGTACTTTTCAGTTTCTATCTGATTTTGTACTATGGTATTTTGATTTTATTTAGACTTCTTTCAAATATGTTTTCAAAATAAAACAACTAGGATAAATATCTCCCCACAAGGCAAAGCAGCACCGGTCAGTACTTAAAATATACATGAATGTTTTGAGAAAGTCACCTTTTTTGTTAGTGTGTGTGCATATAGAGGCTGGAGGTCAACATTGGCTAACTTCCTCTATTACCCTCTACCTTATTTTTTGAGACAGAGTTTCTCACTAAATCTGGAGCTCACTGATGTTGGTTAGATTGGCTGACCAGTGAGACCCTAAGGTCCTCCTCCTGAATTACAGGCACACACTGCCACATCTGGCTTCCTAAGTGGATACTATGGATCCAAACTTGGGTCTTCATGCTTGCATAGTAAGCCGGTTTGTCAACTGAGCATCTCACTAGTCCCTAAGGTCATTCTTTACATGTGTAAAATCCTTTTCTAACGGTTTATTTTTATTAATTTTCATGCTCAATATTATTCAATAAATTGTTTAAAACTGTGTATTTTTAAAGTGACTTCAACCACAAATCTTTAGCACTAAAACAAAACAAACTGAACCCAATTGCTTTTATAGGTGACACGGGTAGTTTTACTGTGGGTGAATAATCACTTCAATGACTTTGAAGGAGATCCTGCAATGACTCGATTTCTAGAAGAATTTGAAAATAATCTGGAAAGAGAGGTAACATTTGTGAGTTTTTTTGAATAGTGTTAAGTTTATTGTTCTCCGCCTATCCTGGAGTTGATGCTATTCTTCCTGAACTCTTGTAGAAAATGGGTGGACATCTAAGGCTGTTGAACATTGCATGTGCAGCTAAAGCAAAACGAAGATTGATGACACTAACAAAGCCATCCAGGGAGGCCCCTCTGCCCTTCATCTTACTGGGAGGCTCTGAAAAGGGCTTTGGCATCTTTGTGGACAGTGTTGATTCCAGCAGCAAAGCAACTGAGGCAGGCTTGAAGCGTGGGGATCAGGTAAGAGGGCTCACCTCTGGGTATAAGTATGAATTTCAGTGATGACATTGACATTAACTTTTATAACTCCACTTTTAGATATTAGAAGTAAATGGTCAAAATTTTGAAAATATCCAGCTTTCAAAGGCAATGGAAATTCTTAGAAATAACACACACCTGTCCATCACTGTGAAAACCAACTTATTTGGTAAGTGTTTGCAAATTCAGACTGCTTTTGTTTTATGTAAAAGGAGTTCTTAATTGGTCTAAGTAATACAAACCTGGAGTCAGATATAAAGGAAAATGCTGAGAGATCAGGGAGAAGAAGTAGCAAGCCAAAGCCATCTTTACCTCACTGGCTTCTCAGTGGA